AAACTACTGGACCAGAACTCGAGTAAGCGTCTCGAGCGACGAGCTGCACTAGTCGCGATGAAACTGGCGCATTACAACATCGAAATTCCGACGCTCAGAGACCCGGCTCTTTGAGAAAGGTAATTTGCAAGAAGCTGGTGCCGGCTTTACGTTCAACTGGTTGAGAAACGCCACCTCAGCACACCTGAACATGGGTTGGATTTGCAATATCCGACCGCCTAAATGACAAGCTATTGGATAAACCAGATGGCATCAGCGCGCGAATGATGACTGTTTGCCACCTTTGTCACTTTTATAAACACTTATATAAGCTTGACCATGTATTAGCCTGATGACGCGCATGATAAATTCTACACTCCGCTATCCTCCGTGATACGGTCTGTGCCGATGAGCGACCGACTATTTCTGCTGGGTGATTGCAACTCGCGCGTTAGGCGTGATGCATCGCTGTGGACAGATGTTATCGGTTCGCATGGCATTGGTTCAGCGAATGCGAACGGTGACAGACTGCTCTCACTGTGTGCCATCCACAGCCTGACTAGTACGAACAATCGTGTTGCACTGAACGCGAGTGATAAGGCAACTTAGACGCAATCACGGAGTGGTCACGCTCACCTGCTCGACTATGTCATCGTACGTCAGCGTGGTATGCGTGAAATTGAGCGTGGTACTGATCACGAGTTGGAGCGGACCCAACAGTATCAATTTTTCGTAAATCGATATATTGCACTCCTACCGTGAACCTGCGGAAAAATAACGTTCTTTCTCTAGGAACTGTGGTGAGCAGGATAGAGCTGGAGAAGATGATGGCTGCACACATTCTGCGGACATAATGTAGACCTGGCGCATACACCTTTTCTGTCACTTGAACAACCATCCAGAGTTTGCCTGATCTATATTAAACAGCGTGGATCAGGAAACGTGAAGGTGAGTCTAGTGTGCACGCAGACACTGGAGGAGAAAGAGAGAGGACTAGCTCAGCTGCGAAACGGCAAGTGAGCCGGTACCAACGGATCCCCATCTGAAGCACTGAAACATGGCAGACCCGCGTTGGTGCAACGCTTGCGCATTGAGCAGCATGTACCTCTTGAGGTGAAGGATGCCCTTGTGCTACCACTGTATAAGGGCAAAGGGAGCAAGCAATTTGCTACGAATTATCGTGGCATCAACTTGCTGTGTTGCGTGGGCAAGATAATTGCCAGAATCCTGCACAATCGCCTCGTCAGTCAGGTTGTGAAACCGAAAGTGGCGAAAGCGCATAGTGGGTTCCGTTCCGGTTGTATCACCATCGATATGGTGATCGCGGCTTGTCAGTTGCAAGAGAAGTGCAGCGGACCAACCTAGCCTTTGTACTTGCTGTTTGTTAATTTCACCAAAACATGTGTTACAGTGAACCGTGAGGCATTTTGGCCGGTGTTCGGTAAGTTTGGTTCTCCGCGTAAGTTGGTAAGTTTAATTGAATGTCTGCACAGTGGTATGCGAGAGAGTGTGCAGCTGAGTGGAGAGACCTCGGATGACTTTGCAGTTGTCACCGATGTGCAGCAGGGCTGTGTATTAGAGCCTGCCCTGTTTAATATTTATCTTCATGCCACAAGGTCTTGTGCTTTTGATTCTGCTTGTGCCTACGGTCTTCGTGTGGAGCACCGTATTGATGGTGGGTTGCTGAAAGTCCGTCGTTTCGGTGCGAGAACACCATTTTGTGAGACAACAATGCGTATGCTACTGTTCGCTTATGACTGCGTTGTTTGCACACAGCACGGATGGGTTGTAGCACATGGTTAGTGCTCTGGATCCGATAGCGGCCAAATTCGGGCTCATCAGCAACACAACCATACTGTTTATCTTTTTCAGGTTGCATCGGAAGTACAATCTGCAACGGCACCGCAAATAAGCTTCTGCTACCTTGGGATGGGGATATCGACTGACCAACAGCTACACGGTGAGCTTCGGATCCGCGACGTGAAGGCAGCGACGGCATTCGGGAAGCTTGAGTACCGAGTGTGGAACAACCATCAGCTTAGCGTTGGCGCGAAGCTGATGGTGTACAAATCCATGGGACTGTCCATTTTTCTATGCGTCAGCGAAACGATGACGATATACCAGAGAGCTGTGAGACATCTCGAGCGATTTCATCAGCAGCGTCTACAACAGACTCTTCGCATCTTTTGGTACGAGAGTGTCGCGGACAGAGGTGCTGCGCCGTAATGGAATGGATGCAGTGGACTGCATCCTTTTTCTAATATACCTGCGGTGGCTCGGTTTATGCGAAGTATGCACTCGACGCGGATACCGAAGCAGCTATTATATGGTCAGCTGAGGATAGAGAAGCGGCATGTGGGGAAACCAAAGTTACGTTACATGGACATGGTCAAAGTGAGCTTCTCACGTTCAAATGTTGCTTTGAGGTGCTGGGCATCGAAGGCGCTTAATCGACCCGCGTGGCAAAATCTGGTCACGAAGATAATTGCAGATACAGGAGAAAGCCTTCGTGCAAGCAGAGAAAAAGCGGCAATTGCGGAAGCGATTGACGCCGGTGGGTTGTACTCCATTGACAGCGAGCGCACGCTGTAGCACGTGCAGTCGCGAGTGCCTGAGTCAGGCGGGTCTAGTGGGCCACGAGCGAGGCCACTCGGGACCACTACCGAAGCGACGACGGGTGCTGTTTTGAACGCAAACAGAACCGGCACTGCGTTAGTAGGCGCACCTCATACGCATCCATTCTATTTACTAACGGCGTGTTTGGTCGCTGACTTACTTTATCTTGGGTGAGTTATTTGCACTATTGTCTTAGTGCTTATTTCGTAAAGTCCTTTTAATGTCTAACTGAATAATCTTACATTAACTTGCGCATGCTTAAACTAAAGGTGGTTATTTTCTTTAATTTTGTTCACGAGTGCTGCATATATTTCTGATCTCTTTTTCCGTCATCCTGGATTCATCGTGGATACGTCGATAACCCATTTATTTCATATGCTGATTTGGTGAGGAGTTAAGTTGGCATCTATTAGTGCATTATTTAATTTATTGGATTTGCTTTCATCATCTTCATCGTCATTTCAAAATATTGTCATCTCTGGTCTGGCTGCGCTTGATGCACATGCTGATAAGTTGCTTACCTGTCTATTACCCACCACCTCGACTATACTGGCTCTAGGAGACGGTCGTTGCTGGAAGGGACGGGGTGCATTGTCCTCGTGATCATGTTGGTCTAAAAGAATGGTTCTATGCACATGGTTTGTGTGTGGAGCGGGCTACGGCCTAACCACCGCCTTGTGTGTGCTTGATTCCCCAAATACAGAGTGCTTGTGATTGCCTTTAAAGGAGTGTGAGCGGGCTCCGTTGATGAAAATGTGCTCCCGTTCACATGCCTCCCGGTCTTTTTCTTTCGGATTTACACCTGATATGGGGCGTATGGATGGGTGATGCACCGCAACCCATCCGTGGTCCCTCTGTATTCGCAGGCGTCCCGTGACTGTCCTCGTGAAGGCCGCAGGGACAGGCAAATAGGGTTACGGATGTAGTCAGCTTTTTATACAGATGCTTACTCATCTCAAACCCGCAAATGAACGGACATAATCTAAACATGGATAAGCTGCTTGGAAGCCTCAACGCTACAAAACTGTGGAAAGTTTTTCTCGCCAAATTCTGAAGGAATTCTTTCAGATGTTCTTCAAGATTCTCAATGAAATGCAGTAGTAAATATCGGTTTTAATATCATTTTTTATAATTTTGAGAAGTATTAACTGATTAGTTTTTGAATCTTTAGTCTTATATCCAACATACAGGGGTGAAAAGACACTTAGTTATGAAACGCTAGTTGTATAGCATTTGGAGTAACTAGCTAATCTGGTTTATTTTCCTGGATGTTCAGAGGATGCCGTAGGCTGGCGCACACTGTGCACAAATCGAATCTGCATAGCATTCTGCTTTGGTCTAAAGCTATATTACCCCGATCATTGATATACCTCCCATAGCGTGCGGAGCTTTAGCCCTACCAAGTATAAAACTTCTATGGCTTGTTCAGCCTCGTCTCCGTTTGAACACTTCAGGTACATTGAGTTTCGGTTATCTACACCCGAGGTGTCTAGGCAAGGGCAGTTTTGGACAAGAGTGAATTGTAATCAGCTAGCAACACTAAAGCAAAACCCGCCTCCAGTTCAAATTCAAAGTTGATGGCAACGAATGGAGCAAATTAATCCCTCACAATGCTGCCTCATCCGAAAAGTTCGGGATAGAATAAGCAGTTGTCTTACTGGTAAAATTATCCCTTCTACTGTGATGGCAAAATATTTACCTAACTGTAGGAAGTGTACCATTGGAAAGCATAAAACTTCAAGTATTATGTAATTGTTTCACATGTCTGCAAAACTGTGGCTCCTTTAACCGGAAGGTGACACCATTAATCAGCAAGTTTAATAGAGTTCTAAAATTTATTCTTTCATGAAACGGACGTGTCAAGAACTATTTCCTGGTTACTTTGTTTCTTGCGGAAACACACATATTGCATTCCTTTTGAAACAGTTAGTTCAGTGTGGATGATCAGGACGTCTCAGTAACCTCGGTCATATGCATGGCTCTAATTCATCCCTGCTCATCGCTGTGAGCGTATTGGCCATCTGTATATTTAACCGGGCGAATCACGTCAGTTCGCTTTATTTCGCGACACTATATTAGCCTCGCAGCGTTGTGTGAGCAATAGGCTGTTCGAAAACGACGGATACCTAGTAAGTTGATATTGTTCTTTGTCGGCTCGAATTACTATTTTTAAAGTGCTACTGGTGACTGGGCAGTAACAGTTAGGGAAATTGAAATATAAGGTAGATCATTTATTGAACTGTAACGTATGTGTAGAACACCCTATAATGTCACTAGTACGACTGCCGCCACTAAGCAAATGTACCTTGGTTCTTTTTGATATAGAATTCAATGCACAGAATTTAATCCACTGCAAACTGACCAACTGCTGCTCAATTTTCTTTATCAGCTAAAAATAGCCCGAAATGTTCTACAGACCTACGAGCTTGTGTTTAGCCACCATACTTCTACTAACATCAGGGACCGAATCAAAGTCCATGGATTGTGATTTCGCCGCTTGTAGGTGAGTTCTTTAAGTGTTTCAGTACGACATTGGTGGGTTATTCAAATCCTCGAAGAGAAGGTGCATGCATTTTTAACTAGTATTATACGGGTAAATTGCACTCACACTCACCGCTGTACGGACTTTTCTTACCATAACCATCAAGATAGTCAAATTTAGGCTGAGATAATAGGTTTGATGCAAGAGCAGACGTTACGGGCTAGTACATTATTGCTACACGATGGTCATATTTGCCGCGCATGGTAGTCGACTCTTCGGCCAAGTTGACAGTTGATCACATTTTCGAGGTTGGTATGAACCAATGACGTTAAGCACAACCTACTAATGCTTAATAATTTCTTAGTGACAACCATGGTAGCAGGTTCAAGGCCTCGTATTAAGGATTCCATTCAATGATGCAGTCAATACAGTTATAGTGAACCTGGGCTTGCTTATGTCTAACACTTGTTATAAGCAGTGTGAAGCGTTGTTACGCTTACACGAGCAGTTGTCCAGGTATGCATATTGGTTGCGATATAATAAGGTGAAGATAAATTACATTGTTGTTAAACTGTACAATTTATGGGAACCTCAAGGTATCCAGAGTAAATAATATTGTTAGTTCCTGTTGGACGCTGATAAAATGAATTTATCTGATGTAGTCTTCTATTAATGCGTCATCTGAAGCGACTGCATGAATTAATTGGGTGATGTGTTCCAACGCACTACAACTAGGTGATGAGCGCTACTCTTAGGAACAGGTGGAACTAGTTAAGGTGATACAAACGTGGATTATCTTTTAACAGCCAGCATAAAATTACTGTTTTGTAGAAAGATAAATTAGCAAGATGTAGTTGCAAGGCTACAAGCTGAACATTTTCTTTACACTGTAATAATAATCAAAAAGAGTAACCATAAGCGCAGAAAAACCCATTATTACCATATGGCTACTCTTAAGGTACTGATGCGTGCCTTTGAAAGCTACTATCACGCGTCCGTGTATAGCAGATTTTCTCGTGCACAGCACGAAATATCAACACAATGAATGATGCAGTTAAATGGACGGATGACGTAAACAAATGGGCAATCCTTTCTCCGGGCGTTAAAATGTCAGAAGAGCACTAACTCAACGTTGGCAGGTATAATTTCATCCAAGCAAAACCAGTACGCTTCGTGACGCACTTTCGAAGCACAGTTTTGCAAACGGATGGTCACGGCATGATTAGGAGCGGCAGGTTTTAAGCAAACGGTAAAGACAGAATATTGTAAAATTTTAGAAACGGTAAATTAAATTAGTTGGGTGCCAGAATGAAGTTCAAGTGTTTAGCACCACGCCCAATTTCAAAATGTGTCCGCGAATAATTTAGGTCGAAAAAGATGAAACACTGAAAGCCTCGAAACAGTGAATGACAAACTATTAATTTGACTTACAGGCTTGACTGCTTGAGGTAAGATTCGAATTAAGTTTGGTCAAACGAAGGAGCATACATGTTGACTAATATCAAGAAAGATTTGACCGAAAATTGAACAATGTTAAGGTTATATGATTATTTTCAGTTTAAAAAACAGTGATGCTTCAAGAGCAGCTATGACAATTTTTAAATAATTCGTGAGGTCTAGCTCTTAATGATGTGATGGTCCAAATATCTACCAATTTGGCAGTATCAAATTTTACTTATCATTGGGGTCCTTTGTGCCAAGTGTCTTATGCAGCAAAACTTTACATAACTAAAGTTGTAAGCCATTAGTATTTAGTTTGTAACCGTAGAAAAATGGACAAACCTCTGTTTCTTCGACATGTTCTATGCTTTCCTATCCGCTTGAAGAAAAAATTGCACTCTTGTGAAAACACTTTATTTATATTGGTTAATTCACGTGAAAGACCATAAAGTCAGATGGTCTTCTGGGTTGATAGAAAGGTGGCGTATTAAATATATTTCGTAAACGAAACTCTGAATTAGCAGCCACACATAGTTACAGTGTATTATACAGACTGTCAGCCATTTTTGATTTATCGCGTTATGTTAACACACAATGCTACTGTGCGGATTTTCCTTGTAGAGAACAATTGACAAATTGCAGCCTTGTAAGCATTTCGATAAAGATTCCTTCAGTAATTCCTCTTCGTCTGGAGATTTTAGTTTGCACGTATGCTCAGGTTTAAGGGAAAGACAAAATAAAATGCTTAGGCACGTTCTTCGTGGTTAGATGCGCAGGCTGTGGGTTGACTTTCAATATTCTTAACTTATGGCTTACTGTTTTCAACCTTCCTGAAATACTTTAGCACTTTTTATCGGAGTGTCGTACTTGCAGACAAACGTGATGCAATTTTCTTGCGGAAGTTTACAATTATTCGAGCTACTTAATTGTATTCATTACTGTTCGCATTCCGCCGGTATAACTTACGCTTTTCCGTTTTCTCTGTCTTCGCAATCACTCATTCATTTTAGTATGTGTTCCGATTACATGAGCATACACACCTGCTGTCAATACGCCTCAATGCAAGCCCGGTGCGAGGCATGTGTCGCGCAGTCAAATACAGTGGAAGGCGTTCAGGCCTGTTTGGGTAAGCCTTGAAGCTGAGAGTCTTAATAAATTTCGCTCGACATATGCTATGCATCCGAGAGGAATGTCACAAGTCGCCGCTTCGTTTATGTATGCGTTTAATGTGAGTAAGGAAACCTGCGGATTATTTTCTCTTCTAAAGGGACCATGAGCCATTTGCCCTGTTTAATCAAACGTTCCACTCGTATTGTCAATACTTAGTATACATCAATGAATCGAACAATGAACAATGAACAACGAATTTATACGGGTTAAGAAGCGTTGCTTTACAAGTCCCGTTGGATAGTTGGTGGGGATAGCAACATAAAAATAATGATAGTAAGGATAGTAAAATAGTTAACACTTTAAATATGAAAATAAGGACTTATCGTTTGCTTCGCTGTAGTCCTGCGATCCTCTTAGATTCACAACACCCACAGTTAACAACAAATAATTCCATGGTAAACTCCAGGTGTAGGATGGAGACGTAGTGTTAAGGGACAAAGTGTAAGTGGATGAGTGCATCGTCCAACCGTCTTTTAAATATTATTAGTGTCGGTGCACAGACGACCGATTCTGGGAGAGCATTCCACGGGTGACAGACACGGATGGAAAAGACATTTCTGCGATACTCCAGCCGACTGTATTGTTCTGCGAGTTTTAATGGGTGGCCCCTCAGGTTTGTATTGCGGCTGAGTTGCAGTAAGGGGCGGCACACATGATGTTGGTCTCGCAGAATCAAGTATGCCATAATCAGGTCACCTCGTAGTCTACGATAGCTTCCACTGAACAATCCCAGTCGTTGCAGCCTCTCCTGGTTGGAAAGATTGCGCATTCCAATCACGTTCTTAGATGCCCGGCGTTGTGGCTGCTCCAGTGCATTAAGGTCGTGTTTCAGCCATGGATGCCAGGCTTGAATTGCGTATTCGACATGGGGGCGAACATACGCACTGAGCATTTGTCGAAATATTGAGCTATTTATTTGTCCAAACGCCCGTCGCAACAGCCTGACATGTTGGTTCCCGATCATCGAGGCTTTTTCGGATTACCTGGAGAAACCAAACTCATCTTGAACCAGGAGATTCAAGTCACGTTCGGGAGTTGATTGTTGTAGTGTATGCGTTCCAAGCCGGTATGAGTAGCTGTACTGATATCGGATGGAAAGCATCTTGCACTTACTGACGTTGAAATGCAATAAATTTTGGTTCGACCATTGATACACGGTATCTAGGTCACTCTGAAGCATATGTTTGTAGGCGTTCGCCTGGATCCTTCGCCAGATCTTGATATCGTTGGCAAATATTAAGAAGTTTAAAGCGATTCCCTGTGCAAAGTTATTAGTAACCACCAAAAACAAATGTGGACCTTGAACTGAGCCTTGCGTATCACAACTCTCAGCGTGTATGGGGTCCGATAAAGAGATGCGAACTGTGATCACAAATTGCCGTTGAAGTAGAAAGTTGACAATCCAGCTTAAAAGAGGGTGTCCGATCCCGTAATGCTGCAGCTTGGATAGTAGTATCCAATGGTCTAGACGATCGAAAGCCTTGGAAAAATCCAGGTAGATCACATCAACACCTTCCCCAGCGTCAGCTGCTTATGAAGCATTAGTAACAATATGCATTGTGATGGAAGTTCTGGTTGTTTCGGAGTCCCCAGACAGACGGCAATCGAATGTATGTCAAAGTACCCCAGAGTTCTAGTAGCGCTCCTTAGATACATGACTAGTAATTGATAGCTGTTATGAATTTGAGTTCTCATGTGAGAGGGTTTGATATTCGACTGGTGATTTCGATTTGGAAAAACCCGTGTGCCAGATCTAGGTACTTGGCGACTTGCCTTGGAACGTTTTATGATGGAAATCTACATTGGGTCCTTCACAGGTACGAAGGCTGTTCACGCATTATCCAGTAGCAGGGATTAGCATTATCCTGATGGTGAATTTCCAGTAGGTATCCTTCATGGTCTTTAGATCGGCCGTACCACTATGGAATATGCTTCAGTTTCACGATAAGACATATCAGACATGCAACTACAACCAGAATGAGTAGGTTTACGACTCCGTAAGCTTCCTCAGGCTCAAAAGTTGTGCCTGATTAATGCCGGTAACACCACGGAACAGAAAAGCAGCACGTCACTGGGATAAAGTTAATTCGATTAATTAAGTGCGTTCTTCGGCAGCCGCTTGAGGGCATGTATTTGTGCTTTTATGTGAATCAGTGACACCCAAAAATGATAGGTGACAACAAGCATTAGGAAGCTGAAGCGTCATTACATTACTGTCAGAGAGACAATAAAACTAGCAATAATGTGGAGTCAGCAATAGTGACCACACTGAGGTTAAAAATATAAAAATCGGTGTGGAAATTAAGAAGAACGCTGGATTGGTAAATTCAAATTACTGTGGTGCTCTGTTTGCAATAGCCATTGTTGTATTAAGTAAAATAGATGTAAACGACAAACGTAATTGGAACATTCAAGTCGCAAAATCAGTTTAAAAAGAATTCTAAAGCACCCAACAGCCAACGCACTTTCGGGAAATTTGTTCTACAGCTGTCCTATTGTGAAGAAAATGACTTTTAAGTGAAACACTGCTGTGGCCTAACTCAGTCTCTACTGTTCATAAGTGACGCTGGTTTGCAACTACTAATGTCAACTGACTGGAGGTGGCGTCCGCCCAAAGACGTTTTGCAAAATAAGGAGAATCGCATTCGACGTGATGTGGCGAATTTGAATAGATGTAAACTGGAAATGTTCGATCTGGCTACTGCTCATAAAATGCGCATCCGAGCTACGTCGGTTTGGACAGAAGTTCTGTTTAAGTCATGCAGAAGGTAACTGCTTAACAAATTAAGTGTGACTCCCGCGTTCTTACACCTATTGCAAGGCATGAATGCAATATGGCTGTATACTCGCGCTCTGGATCATGCCGCTTGGACTATAGGACAGCTTGAATTTGACAGATAATGTTAACTAACATTATTTCCTCATATTCTACACCGGTATACAATTAAATAATTTGGAATTCATTTAGCTTTTAAATCCCATGGCACCTGCTTGCCAAATCATTGCATGTGTTAACAATGCAGTTCGGAATTGTGGTTTCGCGGGTGAACTAATTGGCGTAGAACCAAGTGTTCGCATTTCCAATGATAGTCACTTCTCCACCTGACACACCTTAATCCTCTAACTGAGCGACTAGCTTGATCCATAACGAATTAAGCGTGTTTATCTGGGCTTGATGCATAGTATTGTTAGTGCTTCGGTATCCCCTCATGCCTATGTATAATATGGTATTCGAAGGGCTCAAAGGAGAATGACGATTGTCAGTCAAAATTATAAACAACGAAAACATGTTACATTACTAAAACAAAATGTAGAAATGCAGTTAGGTAAGCTGAAGTTGGTACAGTCCCACTACAAATACCCTGTTCGGGAGCATTGAGAGGTGAATTTTTCATCTGGTGGGTAGTTTGCATCAAACTCTCAATGGGGGAAAACACATATGGGTGACTAGCAGATTTATAGCTCACTACGGCTTTCGTCTTTGTCTGAATAATGTAAATATTAGTATCCAGATGGGGTTCAAATCTATTGCTATTCGTATCAAACCATCGACCTGCAGATCACCACTGTCCCTGATAACAACATACCGAAACACTAGCGACTTTGATCTCGATATTAGGAACTCTGGAGCCGCTTCTTCCCTTTTTTGTTTGGAAAGCGGCAGCGTGTCTCAACTGAGACTATGGTCTTCAATTAGGTAAATCAGTCACTTAGTTTGCTAAAAACCTAATAGCAGTAGCTTTACATCCAGTGGCAACTTTCCCTACGGTTCAGAAGTCCAGGTAAAGCCATCTAGAATTCCAGAGAGGCGCAGAGACCGTGGCTGCCTGCTTGAAGCCTCCTCTTCCCTGGCCGTGATATCCAGCAGATTTGTTTTTATGAGATAGGCGCTTTTGTGACCAATGTGATCTTGAACAACTTTGTTCATATCTTTGAAGATATTCCGGTTCATGCACACCATCAGTCAGATAGTTTTCAAGCCGAAACGCCACTCATTATAAATTGTATTTTTTAATTGAAGGCCGTCACGCAATCACTACCACTATTAACCTAAGAAGCTATGGCAGGCCTCATACATGAGCAATGAATTAGGGTCTTTTAGGCTGTGTGAATTGCTGTTTTCATCCTCTTAAAACAATTAGCATAGGCCAAAAATCAGCTAATTCCCTGCTGCAAGCAAATGTTTACTTACATTCGGTACTGCGGCATCCCATTAGCGAAACACTCAGGTGTACAAATTCGCGCGCATGCTTCAATCGCACGCGGATACAAACTGAAAGTAGTTGCGCTTGTGTATTGCAGTAACTACTCATGCCAGCTACCTAGTGTCCAAAACTATTTTCTCCCTTCTCTACAGCCGAAGACTGGGATCGATCCATTGGAAAGCGCCGTGGATTACTCGGCAAGCGCTTTATCGAAAAGAGACGTGGTATGATTGGGAAGTGAACCCCGGTCATTTGCTTCAACTGATATATGCTGGTTAGCTCTCTCTCTCTCACACACACACACCTGCACTGCATCTTGAATACACGCCCGATCGAACCCTTGTTATACTGAAATGCAGTGTCAACAATCCGCAGAAATACCATATTTTACTGCTGACCGTTGAGTCTACTGCTTTGTTCCTAGTTCCTGAATCCATAAATGTCGCGACGAGGAGGACATAGGGGTTCCTGAAAACTGCCTCCTGTAACATATATCACGGACACATAATAGCCCAAACATTCCCCATACACTAACTATTGCCTATAAGTTAATCCTGCATTAAAATTAGAATTTCCTTTGCAGTGCAGCAGAAGGTATCTAAGAGCATGCAAAGCCATCCATAGAAATCAACCCAGGATTATGTAATAGCGTTTGGAGTTTTCCATGGCTCGCTGGTTGTTTGGAGTGTAGAGCAACCGATTACACTCAAGTGGTGGTTGTTAACAGTTTTACTAAATAAGGTTTGCTGGGAGAAGGACCATCAATGATAGACTGTTTCTTTTAACAGTCCAGTTGTGCATGGGTTTGGGATCAAATGTTTCCTTGAACACGCTGCTGCTTGGAATGCTGGTTTAGCATGAGAACGGATAACGATTCCAAGAGACAAATAGAAAAGCAGGAAAATTTTTGGTAATACACAAAAACGTTCTCTGTTTGCGAAACTACCAAAAGACGACACCGTTAAACGCTGCTAAATAACCGAACGAAAAGTGCACAGCACACAGAGTGGTCGCGAGTTTGAATCGTAACGATGACGATACTCGATTCAAGTAATCAAACTCAGCAACCAGTTCGATAATCCGTACCGGTGGCCCAAGTGTACAATGAAATAATACTTTTAGTTAGAATTTTACACAGACAAACCAGAGAATCTTCAAACGGAAACTAAACCCTCCCCAGACAGGGCTATGTAAGCAGTAATGCAGTGTATTTGAGAACTATCCGTTGCGGGCCAGTCTACGGCAAGACGATGTTGTCGAACCCGATGCAGCTGCCGGGGGAGAACCACGCGATCGAAGCCTAAAGGGCTCCCATCTGTGCCCTTCTAAGGTGTCGGAAATGAAAATAAGTATTTCGGGGGGGGGGGGGAGGAAGGGGACAGTTCGTAAAGTTGGCTGAGCAGGAAGTTCGTTGTGCCTCCACTTGTCATGAGGAGATTTAACGAACCGTGCAATCGAAGTGGTACCCGGTGAAAAATCAACCGACGGTGATGATATGGAAAGCAAAATGGAGAAGAACAGTGTAAATGCACAGTTACACATAAAAGAGTGTCCTGATAAAACTTGCGAAGCGGTTTTTGAGTTTTCAGAAGGTTTTGCTCTTTTTTGATAGTTGAAAATGTTTTAGACATCTTTTATAAAACGTTTGTAAAAGAGGCACGCTCTGTGTAATATAAAACACTAAGGAAGTTCGGGAAATGGAGTGGCAGTTTTATTTCCTACCGCGTCGATCCATAGTAACGCAAGTAATGGTGCGGTCGGTTAAAGCAATACATTCTGCTGGAGCAAATTTTCTGGTCTGCGTTTGTGGCGCTGGCCGTGTTAATGCAGACTGACAAGCTGATTGTTGCGCCGAAGTGTCAGTTGTCGAGCGATGTTGACTTGAGTCGATCAATGTTGATCGTCTCTGTGTTATCACTTTAGTCAGGGATAACTCTTGTCGGTCCTGCATATCACACGGTACAGGCCAGAATAAGATTGATTTGGTCGGTGTACGCTTTCAGTGCGAGAGAAAACCTGCGTGCAAGCAGTAAGACATTTATCCACGTTCATACGCAACATTTATGCCATTGGTAGCACAGGATGAAGCTGTCGCGTGTGATGAGAGGCCAGTTGCGTAATCGACCTAGTCAAAAATTATTGGCGCCTTTGCTGGGACAACTTCACCAGACAAGTGTTGAGTGCAGCCAAAGACTAATGAAGATAGAGTGCCGTGCGAATAACCTTTAACGGTGTTCCTTATGCCTAAAAGAACGCGCGGAAGGTTTTCGGGCCAGAATGTGCTGGAGAAGGCACAGAGTAATGCTTTGAACTGCCGGTGAAACCTTTCTAGCATCCCATTGGCTTCGGGGGGGTATGCGGTGGTTCGGTTGTGTCGGCAACCAAGTAGGTTGAGAAGTTTGCGGGAGCATCCGTCAAAGTATGATTGTCTGTCGGTCATGACTACACTTAAGCAAGCAAACTGGGCTGTCCAGTGTTCTAACATAGCTTGTTCATCTGTCTCAGATAAGCAGTCAGTTATCGGAATCGGCTCTGGTCAGCGTGTACATCTGCCGATACACGAGGAGGTACGCGTAGCCTTTGTATAGTGGCAAAACTGACCAGGTCGATATGAATGTATGCACAGCGTGAGTCAGGAGCCGAATAGGCACTGAGTGGACTTTTGGTGTGTCTGTACGGTTTTGCGCGTTGATACCCTAAGCACGAGCAAGTCCAAGCGTGGATCCCGCGGTTGAATTTCGCTCAGGAGAAGCGTTCGGTTACGAGCTTCTGTGAGACACGTATGGCAGGATGCGACAGATTGAGTAGTGCACCAAAGACTAGACGGCGCATTATTGTAGGAACTACAGGACAGGCAGAGGTTTGTGAGACGTCACAAAGAATCGTAGCCCAAGACGAACCTAGTGGAACTTTGCGTAGTTTTTAAGTGTTGCTGCTTCGAGGCTTTTCTATGGCAGGATCAACTTGTTAAGCTGCGTCCATCGCGGCTAGGTCGATGTTGGTTCCAGGTGATAAGTTGATCTGATAGATGCGTGTAAGAGCGTCCGCTACTGTATTGGGAGTACCTGAGCCATGTACTTTGTCATAATTTGAGAGTCGTGGTCTAAGCGTCTAGTTTCCCGTGGAGACTACTTGTCTGTCGCGCCAGTGATTGCCTAGATCAATAGCTTGTGGCCAATTAAGACTGTAAACTGTCGACCTTCGAGACAGTAACGGGATTGCCAGATCCCTAGCTAGATTGCTAGTAGTTCCCTGCCGAAGGTGCTGTAACGCGATTCTGCTGGTTGCAAACGTTTCCAGAAGAAACTTAAACATAGCCATCGGTGGCTGATGTGTTGTTAATGAACTGCACCGGCTGCTGTGTCCGTTACGTCAGTCGTGAGAAAAGAGCATCAAGATGACGGAGATGTTCATGGTAAGAAGAATGGGCGATGTTAATATCATCTAGTTAAGGATAAACGGCTTGTTACCTCACAGATGAAAAGCTGAAAAGTTTCAGCAGCGTTGATGAAGCCGAAAGATATTCTGAGGTACTCTAAAAGGCCGAAAGGCTTGATGAACGTTGTTTTAGGAACGTCGTCTGGTGCTATCGGTGGATGATTGTAGGCGCGCAATGGGTCGATTTTGCTAAAAATTGACTTGCCAGATGCCGCTGAGGTCAAGCCGTGCATTTGCGGAATGGGATACTTATCCGGGAAGGTAAGATTTTGAGTGCCTTGTAGTGAACATACGGGGCCAGTCGCCGGATTCCTTGGGTACCATGTGTAATGGTGATGTCCGTGGAATATTGAACGGACCAATTATTCCAAGTTCGATCATATGCTCCAGTACTGCCTTAGCACTTTTGAGCCTGTCCGGAGTTAGTCTGCGAGGGTGGGCTGAAAGTTGAGGACCCTTAGTGAGGATTTGGTACATGCCGTTGAGGTCAAGGGAGGTAATTCATTCCGAGTGCGAAGGAGGTTGGGATGCTGGTTGAAAAGCTCTATAGAGTTGTAAAGCTTGAGGCAGGACCTGAATAGGAGTGATAACGGCCACGTTGGCTCTCGTCCCGAAAACACTAAGATGTGTCCGAGAGTCGATATGTTTCTGCCATTTGGCATTGACAATATTGTCGAAACGTTGAAGAAATTCTATGTCTATGATAACGTAGGGCACGGCTGCTACTATGAAAACCCAGCAAAAGGTTCACCGGGGGCTTAGATTGAGCATTCGCGGCTTTTCGCCAAAAGATTTGGTCGGCAAACCATTGGCAACACGTGAGGGTGAGACGATCTCAGCTGAGCTACAGGCTATGATACTAATTTCGGCTCCGCTGTCTACTAGGATTTCAATACTAGAGGTTAACTCCCTAACACAGGTGAGGAGACTTTGGTGTTTGCCGGTTGTGTCCGCCGTCATTACTGGCGTGCCGTGAAGTTTCCCTGCCTCTGGACGAACTGGCAAGGCTTGACACACCTACGAGCTGCTGTACCAAAGCGTTGGTCGCACCAACAGCAAGCCTGCCACTTGCTATATTTGGAGCTTCTCGAGGATGATTTTGATCGGCTGCGACGGTGACGGCTCATTGTGTGCTACTGGAATTGGTGACTAAATGTCGCAAGTTATGCTTGCAGGGCTTCTATAGTTAGCTGTAATCCAGTGACAGGAGTGCCCCGTGACGCGATGGCTTTAACCTTACTGGCGTCGGCTTGTGGCTGTAATCGTTATATGAGTCCTTTTGCTAAATCAGCTAGTTGGGTGAGCAAAAGAAGGCTTACGATAGTGAGAATCGCTTACATGTTTTCCGGTAACCGCCACAACCATAATTCGCAGCGTAGCGTCTTGTCCATGGCGGAGGAAGCAAGCAGCTGTTACATCTCTCGTAGCAAGATTGGGGCAGTTTGTCGCCCAACTGCAGCTCCCTGAAAAGCTGCTACAGGCGGACGTTTTTCAGAGGACATGACACGTTAACCGTGGCCTGCATAAGGTCCACATAGCAATTTTCTGTCTTCGGAATGAGTAAATCTCCAACCTGCATTGATATCACTTTAGGGAAATGGAACCTAAACTTGCTATATTTAACGTAGTCTGTAGTGAGTTTGTAGTTATAAAAATCTGCTTCAAGATGAGTGAACCACAAATGGGGATCCATGTCCCTAAACGGCGAGATAGAGAGAAATACAATGCTAACAAGAGACACTACTTGTGGTGCATAGAAACCAGGGTTTAACAAATGGATATCAAAAATATGCTACCATATGC